AGAGAGGAGAGAGGAAAGAGAGGAGAGAGATGAGAGGAGAGAGAGGAAAGAGGAAAAGAGAGAGAAGAGAGGAGAGAGAGAGGAGAAGAGAGAGGAAAGAGATGAGAGAGAGAGGAAAAGAGAGAGAGAAAGAGAAAGAGGAAAAGAGAGATAGAGAGAGAGGAAAGAGGAGAGAGAGAGAGGGAAAGAGAGAGAGATGAGAGGAAAGAGAGAAAGAGAGAGAGGGTGGGAGAGAGAGAGAGATGGAGAGAGAGATAGAGAGGAAAGAGAGAGAGAGATGAGAGAGGAAAGAGATGAGAGAGGAAAGAGATGAGAGAGGAAAGAGATGAGAGAGGAAAGAGAGATAGAGAGAGAGGAAAGAGAGAGATGAGAGAGAGAGGAAAAGAGAGAGAGAAGAGAGAGAGGAAAGAGAGAGAGAGAAGAGAGAGACAGAGAGAGAGAGAGGTGAGAGAGAGAGAGGAAAGAGAGAGATGAGAGGAAAGAGAGAAAGAGAGAGACAGAGAGAGAGAGAGAAGGAAAGAGAGAGAGGAGGAGGAGAGAGAGATGAGAGAGAGAGAGGACAGAGAGAGAGAGAGATGAGAGAGGAAAGAGATGAGAGAGGAAAGAGATGAGAGAGGAGAGAGAGAGGGATAGCAGGGAGAAAGAGAGAGAGGAAAGAGAGAGAGAAGAGAGAGGAAAGAGATGAGAGAGGAAAGAGAGAAAGAGAGAGAGGAAAAGAGAGAGAGAGGAAAGAGAGAGAGAGGGTGGGAGAGGAAAGAGAGAGAGGAAAAGAGAGAGAGAGGGTGGGAGAGGAAAGAGAGACGAGAGAGAGAGAGGGATAGCAGGGAGAAAGAGAGAGAGAGATGAGAGAGAGAGGAGAGCGAGAGAGAGAGAGGGAAAGAGAGAGAGGAGAGGAGAGAGAGGAGAGGAGAGAGAGGAGAGAGAGGAAAGATGAGAGAGAGAGAGGAAGAGGAAGAGGAGTGAATGATAGCGGATGAGGGAAGAGGAGGAGAGGCGAATGATAGCGGAAGAGGGAAGAGGAGGAGAGAGAGGAAAGAGATGAGAGAGGAAAGAGAGAGAGAGGAGGAAGAGAGAGAGAGAAGAGAGAAGAGAGAGAGGAAAAGAGAGAGAGAAGAGAGAGAGAGAAGAGGAAAAGAGAGAGAGAGCGAGAGAGGAGAGAGACGAGAGAGAGAAGAGGAGAGAGGAGAGGAGAGAGAGAGGAAAAGAGAGAGAGAGAGCAGAGAGGAGAGAGAGTAGAGAGAGAGGAGAGAGGGAGAGAGAGAGGAGGAGAGAGAGAGGAAGAGAGAGAGAGGAGAGGAGAGAGAGGAGGGAGGGAGGGAGGGTGGGAGAGGAGAGAGAGGAGGAGAGAGAGGAGAGTGAGAGAGAGAGAGAGGGTGGGAAAGGGAAGAGAGAGAGAGGGTGGGAGAGAGAGAGAGAGGAGAGAGGAGAGAGGGAGAGAGAGAGGAGGGATAGGAGGGAGAGAGAGGAGAGAGGGAGAGAGAGGAGAGGAGAGAGAGAGGAGGAGAGAGAGGAGGGAGGGAGGGAGGGAGGGTGGGAGAGGAGAGAGAGAGGAGGAGAGAGAGGAGAGAGGAGAGGAGAGAGAGAGGAGGAGAGAGAGAGAGGGTGGGAGAGGAAAGAGAGAGAGAGGGATAGGAGGGAGAGAGAGGGGGGGAGAGTGGGGAGGGAGATGGGGTCAGAGCGTGGAGAGCTCCGGTGATCGCCTTTCTCTCCCTTCTTCTCTCCTTCTCTCTTTTTTCTCTTTCTCTCTCTTTTCTCTCTCTTTCTCTCTCTTTCTCTCTCTCTATCTCTCTTTCTTTCTTTCTTTCTTTTCTCTCTCTCTCTCTCTTTCTTTTCTCTCTCTCTCTCTCTGTCTCTCTCTCTTTCTCTTTCTCTCTCTGTCTCTTTCCTCTCTCTCTCTTTCTTCTCTCTGTCTCTCTCTCTTTTCGCTCTCTGTCCTCTCTCTCTCCCTCTTCTCTCTCTCTCTCTTTCTCTCTCTCTCTCTCTCATCTCAATCTCTCTCTCTCTCTCTTCTCTCTCATTCTCTCTCTCTCTCTCTCTCTCTCTCTCTCTCTCTCTCTCTCTCTCTCTCTCTCTCTCTCTCTCTCTCTCTCTCTCTCTCTCTCTCTCTCTCTCTCCCTCTCTCTCTCCCTCTCTCCCTCCCTCCCTCCCTTCCTCCCTTCCCTCCCTCCTCCCTCCCTCCCTCTCCTCCCTCCCTCCCTCCCTCTCCCTCCCTCCCTCTCCCTCTCCCCCCCTCCTCTCACTATTTAAATGCAAAGTAGACAAGACAAACTATCATGCCAAAGTAAATAGTATCTGTGGCACATTCTAAAATATGAATGTCAAAACTGTAAAAAGCCATAGAAAATTATGAGAGACAGAGAGAGAGAAATAAAAGGGGGAGGAGAGGGGGTAGAGAGAGACACCTAGAGAGAAGAGGAAGAGAGGGAAAAAGAGAGAGAGAAAGAGAAGGATAGGAGGGAGAGAGAGGGAGGGATAGGAAGGAGGAAGAGAGAGGAATAGG